GCTGCTGTGAATAGACCATTTGTAAGCTCCTTGGAAAGGAGGTCTTGGGCCTGACATTGTTCTCTCCGGAATACAGGCAGACATTGTTCCCCACAGCAGCAGACCCACCACTAGCAAGATGGAATTTTAGCCTGATCATCCATCATCCGTGAAGTGGGGCAGTGACACCTGGCCTGTGCAAAGCCTCCCCCTGCTCTCACTCATTCATTCACCCACTCACTCAATCACAGACTCACTCACCCGCCCACTCACTCACTCACTCACTCAGTCACTCACTCAGTCACTCATTCACTCCGTCAATCACAGACTCACTCACTCACTCACTCAGTCACTCAGTCATTCAGTCACTCACTCACTCAATCACTCACTCAGTCACTCACTCAGTCACTCACTCATTCACTCACTTAGTCACTCACTCACTCAGTCACTCATTCATTCACCCACTCACTCAATCACAGACTCACTCACCCACCCACTCACTCACTCACTCACTCAGTCACTCATTCACTCCGTCAATCACAGACTCACTCACTCACTCATTCACTCAGTCACTCGGTCATTCATTCACTCAGTTACTCCTCAGCCACTCACTAACTCAGTCACTCAGTCATTCAGTCATTCATTCAGTCACTCAGTCACTCAGTCACTCATTCATTCAGTCACTCAGTCACTCACTCACTCAGTCACTCACTCATTCACTCACTCAGTCACTCAGTCACTCACTCTCTCAGTCACTCAGTCATTCAGTCACTCAGTCACTCACTCACTCAGTCACTCACTCACTCAGTCACTCACTCACTCAGTCACTCACTCTCTCAGTCACTCACTTGCTCACTCACTCAGTTGCTCATTCACTCAGTCACTCAGTCACTCCCTCAATCACAGAGTCACTCAGTCACTCAGCCATTCAGTCACTCACTCACTCAGTCACTCAGTCACTCCCTCAATCACAGACTCACTCAGTCACTCCCTCACTCTGTCATTCACTCACTCAGTCAGTCACTCAGTCACTCACTCACTCTGTCATTCACTCACTCAGTCACTCAGTCACTCCCTCAATCACAGACTCACTCAGTCACTCACTCATTCACTCAATCACTTGTTCAGGCACAGACTCACTCATTCAACCAGTCAGTCAGACCCGCTCACTCCCTCATTCACTTACTCAGTCACTTAGTCACTCAATCACAGACTTGCTCATTCACTCACTCACTTATCCACTCACCCAGTCATTTACTCAGTCACTCATTCACTAAATCACAGACTCACTCACTCAGCCAGCCAGCCAGCCACTCAGTCACTCATTTACTCACTCACTCACTCATTCACTCAGTGACTTATTCACTCAGTCATTCATTTCCTCACTCATTCATTTCCTCACTCAATCACACAGTTACTCATTTACTCAGTTACTCATTCTCTCATTCATTCACTCATTCATTACCTCACTAACTCATCACTCACTCAGTCATTCACCCTGTAAATTCACTCATTTGCCACATTCATGCCTTTAGTCTCTTGCTCTGAGCCCTTCCCACATTCATTTCTCAGTGTGCTGGCGAGGGCCCTGGACTACACACAGGTGTACAGGCGATCTGAGGCCTGATTTCTGCTCTGAGTCCATCAGCCATGGGTCTAGAAGACTCTCTTAGACGGCACTATAACATCTCAGCTAGAGCCCCACGCCCCTCAGGAAGTGACAAGCCTGACACACAGGCCTTCTTGCTCCTTGAACTCTCCCTGCCTAGAAACGGCAGGCCTGTGAGATGGCCTGGGGCAGGCAGCCCTCAGGGAATGAGTGTTCTGGGGAAGCGGGAACTGACTTGCCCTCCGTTTGTGCTGAGGGCGGCTCCAGTGCTGAGCCCTGAAAGGTGTGATAACAAAGACTGTAGGTGGAGCCCTCCACCTCTTCCTTCTAGGCCCTGCCACCCCCCGGGGCCTGCACCAGAGCCAAGACCCGGAGCTGATGGGGGAGGTAGGCTGAGGCTTTCCCTGGGCGATCGGGGGGCTGAGCAAGGAGGCAGATGCAGGAACGCCCGGTGAAGCCCAGGCGGCCACACCACCCAAGAGAGTGACAAGGGCCACTGGCCACAGCCAGAGGTGGACCAAGGCTCAGGGTTGCAGCTGGGGGGCAGCAGGACCTAGAATGTGTGCCCAACCCTCTCTGAGCCTCAGTTTCCCCCATGGCATGAGACCTACAATGAGTGCCCGACCCTCTCTGAGTCTCAGCTCCCCTTTGTGACATGGGACCTAGAATGAGTGCCCAAGCCTCTCCGAGCCTCAGTTCCCCCCGTGGCGTGAGGGAGACCCCCCGGGCTGCTGTGGGGATGCCGTGGAATGGAGCATTCAGAGCCTCAGTGCGCTGTCCGGCAGACACTCAGTATTCAAAGCTGGGTGGCTGCGGGGCGGCTGCTGTTACGATTCTGTGCTGGGGCATGGAGACACTGAGGGCAGGGTGTGGGGCCTCGCCCGGCCCTGCCCAGGAGGCAGCAGGTTTCAGGGCACCCGGGACTGCTCCCTACCGCTCGCAGACCACTCTAATGAGCTTGCTTGCTGAGTAGCTTAGCGCAACGTGAATGAGTCTGAGCTTCAGACAGAACACAGGGCTTTGGTAATTCCTGCTGTCAGTTCAAGGACAAAGAGCTCCTTGGAAATGCTGTCAAAACAGCATTATTTACTGCTTACAAGGGCCGCGGGCATCCCCACGGCTGTCACCACGCTCCAGGAGAGATCCCGGGGCCACAGGGGCCAGCGCCCACTGTGATTCCCTCCAATAACAACTCTGCGCTATTTGAGACACTTCCGGGAGAAAACAATTTGATTTGCCTGAGATAATAACATGTTTGAATTATTGCCAATTTCCCTCTGGGCGCTGTGGGTCGGTTTCTTTCTCTGACTGGAGAGCTGCCCAGGAGCCTGGCCTGGCCTGGGAGTGAACAGAGCTCCACTAATTCCTCAGAGCCACCCGGCTCAGAAATTCCGCCTCCTGGCTCTGCTCCGCACCTCTGAGAGCGCTCAGGCCCAGGCGTCCCATGGCAGGGCTGCCCTGGCTCCTGATAGTTGACAGCAATGACAAGGCCAGTGATGGATGGCAGAGCTCTGGTTTCCAAGGGAGGAACCGGGCCCTCCCGTGGGCAGCCCAAGGAGAGGCGGCTGTTACGTCTCTCCATGAGCCAAGGCCGTGCCCACCAGCAGTCAGCATTCCAAAGGAGGAAAAAGCCTTCCTTCAGCCTGTGGGGTGGCCAAGACGCCAGTCTCCTGCCACGGTCAGTGTGACGTTACAAAGGGAGACGGGTAGGAAGCCCTTCCCATGTGCTTTTCTGTTGGAGGGACCCGGCTGTGGCCTGCACAATGGTCTGTTGCACACGTGGGATAAGAGGCTAGCACTGTGTGTGTGTGTGTGTGTGTGTGCGCGCGCGTGCATGTGTGTGCATGTGTACATGTGTGCTTGTGTGCGTGTGTGCATGTGCATGTGTGTGCATTTGTACATGTGCATGTGTGTGCCTGTGTGCGTGTGTGCATTGTGTCTATGTGATTGTGTGGGCATGTGTACATGTGTCCACATGTGCATGCCTGTGTGCATGTGTGTGCCTGTGTGCATGTGTGTGCATGTGTCTGTGCATGGGTTTGCGTGTGTGTGCATGTGTGTGCTTATGTGCATGTGTACATGTGTGCATGTGCGCATGTATGTGCTTGTGTGTGCATGTGTTTGCACATGTGTGCTTGTGTGCACGTGTGCCTCTGTGCGTGCATGCATGTGTGTGCATGTTTGCATGTTTGCATGTGTGCTTGTGTGCATGATTTGTATGTGTGTATGTGTGTTCACATGTGCATATGTGCATGTGTGTGCCTGTGCATGCATGTGCTTGTGTGTGCATGTTTGCACATGTGTGCTTGTGTACGCATGTGCATCTGTGCGTGCGTGTGTGTGTATGCATGTTTGTGTGTTTGCACCTGTGCTTGTGTGCATGATTTGTATGTGTGTGTGCGTGCATGTGTATGTGTGCGTGTGTGCGTGTACCTGTGTGTGCGCACATGTGCCTGTGTCTGCACACATAAGAAAGAGGGATGCCGTGGAATCAGCACACAGAGCGGTGTGCGTCTGGAAGGGCCGTGCGAACAGAAGGACGTGCATGGCCCCAGCAGGAGAGGGGCAAGCATCAGCTCTGAGCGGCTGCTGCACTGCTCCTGGCCCAGTGCTGCTGCCTGTGATCTTGGGCAAGCCCTTGCCCTCTGGGGCCCTCACGGGCACATCCCACAGACATTCCTCAAGGAGAGCCGAGGCCCCCCCCGGTGCAGTGAGCCTGGCCTGTTGTCCAGGAAGTGCACTGATAGACTCCCTGAGGATACACTCAAGGGGCTGGGACCTGCTGTGTGATGCAGGTCCCCAGTGGCCCTTTGCCTGGGATGGGAGCCCCCTTTCTCGGGTCTGGCTCCTCAGGAGGCCGGGGTGGGGGCTTTTCTGGGGTACAACCCCAAACGGAGCCTGCTCGTTGGTACCCAGCAGGGGCTGGGAAGGGAGACAGGTTGGGCTACAGGAGGGGCGCCCAGGCATGGATCAGCAGGAAAGCAGGGCTGAGGCAGGCTAGGTCAGCACCCATGGGAGCTGTTTGTCAGGGGCTGAGTCAGGGCCTGGGTCGGGCGGGGATCGAGGAGCGGTGAGCGGGGGGCTGTGCTGGGGACATGTACATCAGCACCTGTCCCCACTGGGGAGGCTTCGAGGCTTAGGGAGGGAACAGCAGTGGCACAGGTCCACATAGCTGGTTCGTAGGTAAAAACGTGGCCCGAGGGACACCAACCCCCGGACTCTGCCATTTCTGATGCCACCCACTGCGGGGCAGAAAGAACGACTGGGGGTTCCCTGGGATGAGTCGGGTGTGGGGCTGTGGGCAAAGGCAGTAGATGGTGGGGACCCTGCCCGGGCTGGGGAGGGTCCAGGGGAAGAAAGGGAGCCGCGGGCCCCTGGGGGGCTCCCAAGGGGTCGGGGGAAGCGCTCTCACCAGAACACGTGGTCTTTAGTCACTCGATCTTGCAGAAGCGTCCATTTTTTCCCCAAGTCGGATGACACGTAGAGCTTTAGGGCAGAAAAAGGAGAAACGAACGCTTGGTGAGGACATCAGGAATAAGCTGCTGCTGAGAGAGGCAGATGTCCCCGCACAGCAGATCCCTAGCAGAAGCCAGCCTTTTCCAGCGGCCACGCAGAGGCACTGTGCTCATGCTAGGGTGCAGACCCAACCTCATGGCCTCCGTGAGGCACCATTCCTGCCCCCAGGCCAGCTGGCACAAGCTAGGAGAGGAGGTTCTCCAGGATGAAATCCTGGGGGTCCTCACAGAGGAGGTGTGTCTGAGCCTCGAAGGTGGGAGGGACTTTATAATCCTGTGTGAGGGAGGGAGGAAGGGCGTTTGGGAGGAGGGAGCTCATGTTGCCAGGGCTGGAGGAGGGAAGGACGTCAGAGCAGGACAGTGGTGGTGCCAGGGTAGGGGTGTGGCATCTGCCACAGGGGTCAGTGCAGGCACAGGTGGGCTGGGGCCTGACACCAGGGCCAGCCTCACAGCCTGTGACCAGTGTCACAGCCCAGGGACCTTGCTCAGAATAATTCTCTGCAGTTGCCAACTTGAACTTCTTAATAATTTTGTCTTTAATTGGAGCTTTGGAAGTGAAGGCTGACGAGTCAAGAGAGCATGTGTAGGGCTGACAGCCCAGGGTCCCTCTCCAGCCCTGAGCCCCCCTCGTGACACCATCTCAGCTGCCTGTGCCCATAGTCCTGTCTCCACACTGTCCTTGTCCCTGGTGAGTGCCAGGGCCATGCCTGGGCCCGGGAAGGGGCAGGGGTGGGTGCCCTGCTCACTGAACAGAGGCCGGTGCTGGGGGCCTGGGAGGGTGTCCCTGTGAGCCACAGAGCACAATGTCAAATGGCTCCTCAAGAATGTCGTGACAGGCCCGGAGAGAGAGAGAGAGAGAGTGCAGAAGGAAGGGAAAGCATTTGATCTGACTGTCAACACTTTTCACCTGTGAGTCACACAGCTGGCCCTGCCCAAAACCACCACCAAGTCCGGATAAGATGAGGCGCTCAGGGGGTCGGTGGCCAGACTGTGTTTCAGGAGCCCACACCAGAGGCTGTGGTGGAGGCAGGGAGGCCTGAGGAGGCCAGGCCTGGGCCCAGGGTAGAATGGAGAGCAGGGCAGGGCTGGAGAGAGGCCCGTGCAGGCAGCTGGACTGCTCCCCTGAGGCGTACGCGGAGCAAGGGGGTGAGAGGGTCCTTGGATCTGTGCCCCAGTCCCTGGGAGGAGTGGACGGGGCTGGGGGTCCCGGGCCTGGGGCGGAGGGAAAGAGGCAGACGGCCCTCGGATTCACACCCAGGGCTCTGGCCTGGGGGTCTCAAGGGGAGACAGGACCTTGATCAAGCGATGAGCTTTGGAAGTGCCAGGTGAAGTTGCCAGGGCCACAGGCAAGGCCCAGAGCTGCTCCCCTTTCCATGAAGGCCTGTGGAAAAGGGCCTCAGCCTCCTTCATGGACAAGACAGTCCTGGAGGGAACCGAGATCCGCTCTGGCAATAGGCGGGGCAGCTCTCGGGCACAGCGGCGTGGGGGCGGGGAGGGGCCTCTGTATCAGGGCACCGCTCTTGGCCACGCCAGGGGGTGGCATTTCACAGCTCCATTCTCCATGTGAGAAGCTGCTTATGGGTGCTGGAAACACTCCCCCAAATGTGGCATCTTGGAAACCGAGAACAGAGCAGAAGCAGGAAGCCTATTCTCCTCCCTCTCCTTCCTCTCCTGAAGCAGCCCCTAAGCTGAGGAAGGGTGTCCCCCGACCTTCTTCCACCCTCCCCCAGAAGTCCCTCATGTGACAGGTGTCCTGCCCCAGGCCCGGCGAGGGATGCCACACCAGGAGGCTGAGAAGACGCTGGACACGCAGCCTGGCTAAGCCGCAGCCCCTGCCCGCTTCCCCTCACCGGATCACAGCCCCTGCCCTCCGTCACTCTTCTCCAGGACCAGCCCCCGTCCACCAAAGCGAAGCATCAAACACGGACTTCCTGTCTCTCTGGGCCTTCATTTGGAGCACTCCCATGTCACAGGAGACTTGAACGACGTGAATTTGCTTTGCTTCTGTCTGGTTAGTGTCTTGCAACGGAGGCCTTAGCTATGAACCTGAGATGGGTGGAGAGATTCTTCCTTTTCTCCCCTCCGTGGGAGCTCACAGAGCACGGGTGCTGTCTGAGGCAGTGGTGCTGGGTCACAGCCCCGAGCTGCCCATGACCCTGACGGGCGCCACAGGCAGCTGCCATGCCCTGGAGATCCAGAGGAGGCAGGGTCCTCTGTGTTATCTAACACAGGAGAGCTGGGACTGGGCCCAGCAGGACAGGCGGGGACCCAGGAGTCAGGAGCCCTGACTGTGCCGGGCCACCTGGGCCCTTGGGCCCTGCATCCCGGGGCGGCAGCTGTGTGTGTGGCCTCCTGGCGGGCCTGCCTCCCTCGGTGCTGCTCCGGCCCCGCCAGAGCCTCCAGTGTTCAATTCCCCTGTGGAAGATCCAGATGGGCCCCTGGTTTCTTCCCCACTGACTCACTGCCTGGCGTCAGGCCAGCATCTGAGGGGTGTGGGGGTGTCGGCGGCCGAGGAAGGTGGAGGCCGTTCCAGGGGAAGGTGATGACCAAACACAGATCCCGCAGCTGGCTCCAGGATGCCAGGCCCCAGGGCGCCAAGGCCAGTGTCACAGGCAGGCTGCGCTGGTGCTGGGGGAGGGGACAGAGCTGTGACTTCCTCTCCCAGGGCTGGGAGTGAGGGAAGGGTTTTCAGCAGGCGGCAAAAGCCTCCCTCCCCGGGGTACGGCAGAGGCACCTGACAGCCGTCCCCTCGCTCGCGCCTGAGAATGATCCCATGGTCTAAGCACAATGGGTCCCCAGCTAAGGAATACGGGAGTGGCCAACCCGCGGGTTCACCCCTTACCCATGAGGACCGATTCCGGCCCCTCCTTGGAACGCAGGCCCCATGGGGCCGAGGCCCTCTGTGCTGGGTTGGATGGAGGTTGCTAGCAGGAGGGTGCGGAGCCGGGAAGAAGCCACATCAACTGTGGGGCTCTCCCGCCCAGCCCACTGCCACCAGACTGCCCCTGCGTGTAACGCCCTCCAATAAACCCGGTGTCTCCTTTGATGTTTCTGGGTCTCTTCTGTGGCCTCTTGGGCATGGTGCCATCCCTGCTGGAATCAACAGGGGTCTGGCACAGCCACTGGGAGGGGCCTCTGTCCACTCTGGAGGAGACAACCAGATGGCAGAGGGGCCTCCTGGAGGCAGTCTGACCTCCTCTCTCTCCAGAGTGGCTGGGACACTCTCCTAACAGCAATGCCAGGAAGCCTGGGCTCTCATCCCCCCCTGGAGCCAGCTACCTGGCCAGCCTCAGTTTCTCCCAGCCGTGAAACTGGGCTGACAATCGTCATTCTCACTCAGAAGGTCAGGATGATTCAACTGCAGCCTGTGCTCTGGAAGTCTAGCCCATGTCTGACACACAGCGTACCCGCCGCGCCTGCCTGCTTTTCCTGTCCTGGGCAACCCGAGACACTGTCCCTTTTTTCCCTTGCGTCTCCTGCTGACCCTGCTCAGCATTCATTTACATTTCAATACGTTTCATCCCTAACTCCCAGGTGAAGAGTGAACGCAGACATTGGGCTGGGCCAGTGATACTATAACTGATGTCCCCAGTTCGTCTTTGATTTTCGTGCTGTTTTTGCCAGCTGTCCCTCTGGGGGTAGGGGCTGCACTGGTGCAATACGGCCCGCCCTGCATTCCTCAGGGGAGGACGGGCCACGTGGGGTTTAGGGATCCTTTGCACCCCCGGAGCATTACGTGCCGAAATCCTTGCTACACAAGCAAAGCTCAGAGCTCACCGTGTTTTTTGTTGCATATTCAGGCCTGGGACAGGAGAGGTCATGGGCTCCGCTGCACGGGTGTGGCTGATGGAGGAGGCAGGCTGGGCTGAGAGGGGAGAGAGGGCTGGACAGGGAGGCGAACCTGGGTCTTTGGAGCTGGCCTCTGCTTCTGTGTCATGGCTGTGGAGACATTTCCTTGCCTCAGTTTCCCATCTATAAAATGATGCCCAGCTGTAGCATTTCAAAGGGGAGAGTCTGTGAGTCCAGGGTTCTTGGGCTCCAGCAGGCCTGGCTCCATTAGCACCCACCATGCACAGCAGGAGACCCTGCATGCGTTCCCACGCTGTTCTGAGCCTCAGTTTCACCGGTTTTTTTTTTTTTTTTTTTTTTAGATAGAGTCTCACTTTGTCGCCAGGTGCCAGGCTGGAGTGCAGTGGTACAATCTCGGCTCACTGCAACCTCCGCCTCCCGGGTGCAAGCAATTCTCCTGCCTCAGCCTCCCGAGTAGCTGGGACTACAGGCGTGCGCCACCACGCCCAGCTAATTTTTGTATTTTTAGTAGAGACAGGGTTTCACCATGTTGGCCAGGATGGTCTCGATCTCTCGACCTTGTGATCCGCCCGCCGTAGCTTCCCAAAGTGCTGGGATTACAGGCTTGAGCCACCGCACCCGGCCTCACCGCTTTTTTAAAATGGGAATCTGTCCTCTTGCACGAAGGGACGCTGTGGGATTATCCAGGCGTACAGCAAAGCAGGTGTGCCTGCCACGCACACAGCACGTCCTGTCGTGATCACCGCCTGGTAACACCTGTAATAGCAGGATCCACCCCGCATGCGAGCACCAGCCGGGCCCTTTGCCTCTCAAGGCGCCTCCATAACATCGCCGGGAAGTAGATGCTTCTAAAAATACCTTGTGCAGACTGAAGACGGAGGCTCGCAGCAGTTGAGTGATTCACCCAGGGTCACCCGTCAGACCTGCACTTGAATTATCTGTGATTTGAATGCACGTCTCTTTCTTCCTTCTGTAACCAGGATCTTTCTAGAATGAATCATTTGAGCACGGTTTCCATCACTGGCCCGGGAAGGAAGGGAGGCTCAAGCCAACCACTCAACCCAGATTCTCCATCTGCATAACGGGTACGAACATTCACACGAACGGCAGCCAGGGTCAGAGGCCACAGCTCCTGGCCCCCAGGGCCGGCATGACTGGCTT